CAAGCTGTCCCTGATGAGTTGCATGACCGCGGGAAGTGGCCATTGTTAGGATAACGTTGCAGGTTTCTCAATCCGCAATTTCCTGCTTGAATTACCTTGTTTTCGTGGCATTGCCCAGAATTGCAATTTGTGTCTAATACACTTCAACACTCGCTGCGAATCGGCTTCTATAAGGCTAACCTTATTAAAAGCCGACTTTTAAGACCAAAATAGCTGGAAGCCACTTAAATATGGTTTCCGATGATTGCAGTGGTTTTTCCATTATGATTTACACCAAAAACTAGAAACTTTTCATTAAATTGAAAGACGTTTTACAAACGCACACGTTTGAAAAAGACGGCGATCATTTCCTAGTGGGTGGCCGCAAAATATGTTTTAACTCTGTTGTCATACGAAGTAGCGTTGGACAAGTAACATTTCAACATTCTCGGAATGAGCGTCATTGATATAACTTGTAGAGGGAAATTGCCGACTCATTGCCGACTCTAATTTGCCTGCTAAATGGTTTAAACAGTCCTTGAAAAAAAACGAAAATAGAAAAAAATTTACTACACGCCGGATATATCCTTAACCCTGACACAATGTGATGAAAACATTACCGATTTTCGAGGAAATTTCCTCTGGAGCAATGCAACGCCTTCCGAGAACCCATACAGATCCCCGAGTGACGTGAACTTAAAGTTGTTCAACTGTATTTCACGCAGAAAATGCTCTTTCAGTTGAGAATATTAACCAACATATTTTAAAGAACAAAGGACTTGTCTTCAAAAAAGTTTAAATCAGTCAGGCAAGCCGATATCGGTGTTGTTTGTTTGCAGTTGTTTATTTCAACTCGGTGACACTATAAACAAGAATTGATATGTTTTCAACGAAGCTCATTCTTTCACTGAAGGGCTGTAAAACCCATTTGAACGATTGCCCAGCATGTTCGCTATTGAGGATGTTTGCCTTTAAAAAGTATTTACTCGATGGCGGAAAACCGACAAGGGTCTGTATCATTTTAAATGAAAGATATACCGCAAATCGATCCTATGTAGGCCGAAAACATTGAAAACATTGATTTAAGCCTTCAAAACTCGACATACATATTTGAACTGACAAAATAAATCAGAATTGTTTTACAGAGAGATTGATTTATTTATAGACAGGCGGCGAAACAATAACGAGCCCTTGTGTCTTTTGGACATACGCGATAAAAAGTGGGACTGTAAAAAAATTCCGATTTTGCGCCAGTCTCTTAATACAAACTATGTTATTAGAGGCAAATCATGATCATTAGGCAGCCTTCTAGTCCTTCCATATTCGGGTCTGGATAGATCCATGTTCCATGTTCCATTCGAGCTGTGGACTTTGCTTTTCAATAAGTTTGTCAGTTATCAATCTTATCCTTCTCAGTTAAACATTCTTCAAGGGTTTTATTAAAAATGATTGAGTGAATTTAAAACATCACATGGATTATATTCTTGTCTGATCAGTTACGGAAAGAGCTTGCAAGGATTATCGAGTTGACAAGTCTTGGCTTTTTTTTCATACTCATTTCATTGCTCCTTTGTCTCACGGGGCTCAAACATTTCTATCCACGAACGATAGACTTGCACAATTTATTCTATGTATGACTAATAACATTGCAAGAATGAAGGATTTTTACTTGCTTAAATATAAAATGGTTTCTCAAAGAATTTGTTATCCCTAGCAGCATATGGGAAGTATGTTAAAACTCTTCGATGCAGCAATGTCAGAAGGTTTCAGGTTCGAATCCTCGGGGGAGGATCTTGTGGAAAAGTTTTCAATATCTTTCTGCTTCGACCACTGAATTACAAGTCTACGGCATCTTTCTAAATCTATCACGAAAAAGCGTTTGTCCCGCAAAACTTGCACAATTTGGCAATGACGTAAGTTTAATATTTAAATTTTTTTTTCGTTAAAAGCTGCATACATTAAGTTCATAACGTTCTGAGACACTCCTCATTTCAACATGGCCATTTCCGGTGGCAGTTACATGATGGCGGCAGGTTTCTTTAACTGAGATGCTAAGCTCAGTCAGAATGTAAATTAAGAAGTAAAGGTAATTGAACACTGAGCTTTGGAATTATCTGTCTCGTATTTTCGCTCCAGTAGCCGGCTTGGGTTTGAAATAGCGCAGGTTGGCGAAATTTTCCGACAGAAGACTCCACTTGTAAGACAGACAAGAGCGAGAACAAAAATGAATTGTAGTAAAATCATGAACACTTGTTCTGACTTATTATGATACATGAGCAATGTTTAAGCAAGACCAACAAAGTCT